CTTGCACTTTCAACATTGCGGAGTTAATCAGAGATATTGAATAAAGAAGGGAAACGTAAAGCAGTTCTCATCTTCATTCTTGCTAGACCTTAGAGGCGATTAAAGTAGTAATTATTAGCTATAATTAGGACCACCAGTGCACTAACTCCAAAATGTTACTAGAACGTTTTCACCACCTAATCACTGAATGTAACACAACCATTTACGTGGCAAAACAAAAATAAAAACATAAAATAAAAAAATAATATAAATAAATCACCTGAACCTGCCTTATATACCCACAACTTTTGACAATATGCACCTGAGCCAATAATGAACGAAAGGCACTACCAACGCACCCTATCACCAACGCACTTAAATCTAAACCCCCCCCCCCTTGTCCAAATATAACACACAGTAGCGTTAGTAGCCGACCAAGACACGGGGGTGTATGTGTGTGTGTGTGTTTGTAGTTGGAGATTCTGGGAAGTAGAGTAAATATACGTAATAAAAAAGTAACCCGTCCTTGTTCTTCAGGTCAAGTTACTCCACCTTCATGCAGGCTAAAAGGTAAACCCTCTCCTTACTCTCTGCATGTAAGCCAAGATAATAATTATAAACGCTGTTACCTCGGTGTGTGTGTGTGTGTTTGTGTGCGCGCCGGGGATTGAAGGGCTGATGATATTAGTCTTGTCTGTAGTGGTTTAGCTTCTAGGAGTCGCCGCCAGCTGCTATTAGACCATATGATGCTTCCTTCCTCTCTCTCTCTCTCTCTCTCTCGCCCTGAAAGCACAGTTCGTCATTCGGTGATGTTACTAAAAATAGGTTCCAGACAAGGCAGCACCGTCGGAACAGAGGACAAACATCTCACTAGAAATATATACAGTAGTTCATAAGCTGTTATATTTTACTATATTTTGTTCTACGTCTTTTAATGATTAATATAATAACTGATTCAGTGGTTATTTGAATTTATTATCGAAGGTAACAGGTAAACAGCGCTCTGTTTGACCTCCACACTGCTACCACGTGGTCAACCAGAACCTCCGCCCACAGCTGTGTGACGACAATGACAAACTGTGCTATAGGGCGTTGTGAAGGGTCGTGGGAGGGGAGGGGAGTTGTTCTTTGTATGTCTGTCTGTTTTTCCTATTTCTGTCTATCATCTGTCTGTATCGCCCCCCCTCTCTCTCTCTCTCTCTTTGACTACAGTCTTTTTCTTGTTTCCTCTGATGTTCATCTTGTTCTTTTTGTTCTTCGACTCCCCAGAATCCCTCTCAGATTATTCCGATTCAGCTTTTTGACTACAAGAGATGAGTCTTTAGTTTCACAGTGAGGAGGAGGAGGAGGAGGAGGAGGAAGTGTTTCAAAAGCTTACTGCCTAGATACGCTTCATCTTAGCTTTTGTTTTAAGTTATGGCTCAAATAGCTGTTTAGATTTAACTTAACATGTGGAAAATCGTTGTTATAGTCTTCCTTTCGACGACTTAACCCCTTGAGTACTGCTGACTTTACACTTTCAGTAAGACGATTTAATCCCTTGAGTACACCGACTTAACCCCTTGATTATCGACTTAACCCCTTGAGTACTGCTGAGTTAACCCCCTTGAGTACACCGACTTAACCCCTTGATTATCGACTTAACCCCTTGGTAGCCATTTTAAAGGGTAAAGTTATCGTACTTAGGGGAGTAGTATCGTACCTACAACAGTTATTATACTGAGATGATTATCGTAATCATTGAATTATTATCATACCTAAAACACTCAGTTACCATACTCAGGGGGCTCAATCAATGACATATGAATTATTATCATACCTAAAACACTCAGTTACCATACTCAGGGGGCTCAGTCAATGACATATGGTTGACTGATAATAAAAACAAAAAAAAGGTAAATCTTTATAAAACGAAGTAATTTAAGAGCAGAAAAGTCAAACTGATCTTTGTAGTTTAACCTGGAGCTATGTGAACCCAAAACCATAATATTCTCAACCCCAAATATACCTTCTTGGGTTTTATTTTTATATTTTTTTTTTTAGGAAATCTGTAATGGAGAGAAATCTTATCATGATTTTTCCTACGGCGGGATAAGTAATAAATTTTAATACGTTCCAGTGCAGTTCAGGACAACTCACACGGGAGGGGGGGGGGACAGTCCAAGTAAAAATATATAACGTGGTAGGTTTACTGCCCTTAAGGCTACTTGACTCTTGAGAGAAATCGAATTAAGTTTCTTGAGTCAGTCGTAAAGATTTCTCCCCAGGCAGCTAGGACGGGGTGCGTGTGTGTGTGTGTGTCTGGAGGGGGGTCATGCAGTTCGGCCACACTCACTTCAACTTATCACAGGTTAAGAATGTCTACGTCAGGTTTTAGTCAGAGCTCCAGTGCAGTTTTTCTTTCTTTCTCTCTCTCCCTTTCTCTCTCTCTTTCTCTCTTTCCCTTTCCCACAAATAATAAACTCTCACAGGATGCGGGTCCTCAATGGAACAGAGAGATTTATTTATTTTTTTTAAGAACTGAAATGTTATTGTGGGAACCTGTAAGTCAAAATTATTTATTGTGATTAGAACAAAACTACGAACAAAATATATTATCACGATACCCACAAAGAAAGTGACTTCTCCTTTTCTTTCCCTTTCCCTGTTCCTCTTCTTTCACTCTTAATTAAACAACTTTCACTAAAAATTGAGAAGAAAGTGATATGAATTTTTTACTTTACAAGATGGTAATAAAGTAGTTTTTTGTGTCTTATAATAAACCATTAAGTCAGAAGACGTGGTTGAAGAGGGCGTGGTTGATGAGGGCGTGGTTGACGAGGGTGTGGTTGACGAGGGTGTGGTTGACGAGGGTGTGGTTGACGAGGGTGTGGTTGACGAGGGCGTGGTTGACGAGGGTGTGGTTGATGCAGACGTAGTTGACAATGGTTTGGTTGATGCAGACGTGGTTGACTCTATAAACTGACTCTGTGAACCTGACTTCGGACTGAACCTATGGACTCATTAGCCGAACTTGTGAGCTGACTTCGTGATCTGTTTGTGAATTGACTTCGAACTGACTCGCTCGTGTACGAACCATTTGAGTTGGATGGATAATTTTGCCAATCAGAACTCCCGAGTTTGAGCGTCTCTCTCACACACAAGTTTTAATGAGCAAGAGATCTAACTAGAGATAAAAAGAGAAAAATGAGAGAATGAGAGAATAGAAAGAGAATAAAGAGGAAAAGAAAGAGATATAGATTGAAAAAAGAGAGAGAATGAGAAAACAGAGAAATGGATGGAAAAAGAGAAAGAGAAAATAACGAGAGAAAGATACACAAAAAAATAGAAAAGAAGAGATACTGAAAAAAAAAGAACTTGCATTATTTCTTTAATTTTTTCCTCTTCTATGTAATGCAGACTAACACCTGGTCAACCTCTATCATAAACACACTGTAATGCAGACTAACACCTGGTCAACCTCTATCATAAACACACTGTAATGCAGACTAACACCTGGTCAACCTCTATCATAAACACACTGTAATGCAGACTAACACCTGGTCAACCTCTATCATAAACACACCTACTGAACACCCAATTAATTTACTACATAACCTTACGCATCGTTACAAGTTTAAGATTCCTTTTGGGATTTTTTGATCTCTTGTCCGAAATTTTATGAAGTTTGGTCGAAAATATGTGATTAGATTTTAAATGGTAATTATATTAAAATGTAGGTAGTCTTATAACATGACCCTTGTATTATCGTTTTTTAAGTTATAGCATTTATGTATTATTTTCATGTTAATTAACGAGCACAGGTAACTAATCACTTGAACTAGATTACCTGAATTTACCTGCCAGAACTGTGTGGTAGGTTAGGTTTGTACTAAATTAGGTTAAGTGATAGATTAAGTGAAGGGAAGATCCAGTTAGGTTAGATTGAGTTACATTAGGTTAGGTTAGGTTAAATTTGGTTAGGTTAGGTTAGGTTAGGTAAGTTTACATATAGTTTAGGTTTAGTTAGGTATATTTTAGTGATAAGCAAGTCAGGTTCCGGTGATTTGTGAGATCCCGATAGTTAGGTGAAGGGAACTAGGATACTAAGTAGAACAAGGCGAGGCGGGGGAGGCATTAGGTGCTAGAGGGGTGAGGCATCAGGCGTGTCTAGCCAGAAGGTGGGGGGGCATCAGCTGTATTTCCCACGTCAGAAAAAATACCAACCTGAGAAACTTATCAACAAGGTAAGAAACAATACAATGCTTTAACGTTTGTGGTTGTGATGTAGGGATGGACGGATGGTTGGAGGGATGAAGGGATGGATTGGATGGATAGGGTGGGTGGGTGGGTGGATGGAGGGAAGAATAAAGAGAGGAAGGGAGGGACGTGTAACCGGGTTGACCACAATCAGGGGTTGGGGGGGTCTCGCGTGGTGATAATAAGACAACTGTGTAACTCCCAAGTACAGGTCGAGAGCTTCTTGGGACGGGCACGAAGGTCATAATACTAAGAGACGAGACTTCAGAGGTTCCAAGGGAGAAATGATACTATACTCTGGTGTTAATGGGCTGTTCACCTAACCTAACTTAACCTAACCTAACCAGGAGGAATGGGGCCCCACTCCAAATGGGGCCCCTCTTCAATTGACCCCCTGTCTTAATAGGGGGCCAACGTAACCAGTTTTAAGAGGCACTAAACCTAACCTAACCTAACCCAACCCATTAGGATTTGGGGGCCTGTCTTAATAGGCCCCAATCCAAACGAATCCCAGTCTGACTAGGTCCCAACCACACCTACCCGGACCTAATCTGATAATCTAGATTATGGCCTATCAGAACTAGGGCCTCTAGGGATTGGCAACCATCAGATCAATCGCTGAGAGTGTTTTTAGGCAGGCAGGAACGCTGGACCCTGAACCAAGCAGAGGAACTGTTGGTGAGTTAAAACTAACCTAACCTATAAGACCCACTATGAGGACCCCTACACTCACCTGTCGGGTCCAGATGACTAATGATTTTCCACCTTTTTCTGTGTTTCAGCGAAGCCGCAGCCCAAACGGTTGAGATATGCAAAGGTTTTCAAAAGTAAGATTTCAATTACTTTTGTCCTGGCACTCACCATGTGTAAATACTACTTTATTTACGCTCTCTTGCACTTGTATAACCAATGGGCAAAGTATTGTAGACCTTCTCCTCTAACTTCCTTTATGTATTATAACCAAACATTCAAACCAAACTAATCATCAAAGTAGATTGTTTATTTTCTGTGTTTATTTTTTTTTCTCAACGTAACCAAATTAATAAACAATAAACTCCTACAACAGCATACATGGAGAACTACATTGTATAATATTGGACCTTAATACAACATTAGTGTAAGATTAAGATAAGAGTCACTAACATAAACATTCAACACAAAAAGAGACTTGTTTATTTATAGTCAAAATAGTAACTATTCTCACACTGTAGTAAATAGTTCATACTACAGCTAAATCAAACTAATCTCTGCTCAAGCTACATAAATTAGCTCTGGCTATAGCTTCAAACATACAGACAACACGGAGAACAAAAGCTCAAGAGATTAAATAGTGCACCAATCTCTGTGACGCTGTTCTCTCTGTAGCAAACATTACTTGGCTTTACCTGCAGTCATCTAATTAGTTCACCTCACAGATACAATAAGGGAAATCTTTGATGGTTAACTGACCTTCCAGTAGCTATACCTGCCTGACGCCGCACAGTACAGTAGATACCTCTCACGCACTGATCCAGCAGGAGGGAGATAGTGATCATGATGATGATGACCCTGAAGTGGAATATTTCTTTCTCACACACATATAGAATCTCTCAAAAGATCTCTCTCACTACAACAGCAAGAGTGTGTGTGTGTAGTTCTTAAGAGAAAGATATATATGTCTCTCTGTATGTGTGTGATTTGAGATATTTTTCTCTTTAGTTTCTCTCTCTCTCTCTCTTTCTTTCCCTCCCTCCATGGATTCCCAGCCACAACACCCAATGCACTCAACTCACTCAATCACTCACTCACTCACCACACTTCTCCTTAGATATACACACCAATCACCTGTACATTAATTAAAAAAAAAAGATATCCTACCGTTATACCTGTCCACGCCCCTCCAATGTATATATATATATATAAACAGTATATACATATCTACTGTATTCGGTGTCTTACCTGCTATGTACATTTCCGCGCTAACCGTAGCTGTTCTCACCTGTGCTACGCTGTATTGCTCTATCTCTCTATCTCTCCCCAGCAGGTTTTAGATAGAAGGTGTGTGGACAGGTAAGTTTGGCCGAGGGAAAAGTTGGTTGTATGGTGTTTTGTGTTGTGGTGTTATAGTGATATTCCTTGTGGTGATATGGTACTGTGTTGTGGTGTTATAGTGGTGTTGATGTTCCTTGTGGTGATGTAGTGGTGATGTGGTGTTATGGTTGATGTTCCTTGTGGTGATATGATACTGTGTTGTGGTGTTATAGTGGTGTTGATGTTCCTTGTGGTGATGTAGTGTTATAGTGATGATGTAGTGGTGATGTGGTGTTATGATGTGGTGGTGATGTGGTGTTATAGTGGTGTTGATGTTCTTTGTGGTGTCGATACGGTGTTGATAGTGATGTGATGTGGTGTTATAATGGTGATGTTTTTGTGTTGAGTGTGATGTTATGGTGTTTGGCTGTGATGTTATGATGTTGAATGTGATGTTATGGTGTAGAGTGTGATGTTATGATGTTGCGTGTGATGTTATGATGCTGAGTGTGATGTTATGGTGTTGAGTGTGATGTTATGGTGTAGAGTTTGATGTTATGGTGTAGAGTGTGATGTTATGGTGTTTGGCTGTGATGTTATGATGTTGAATGTGATGTTATGGTGTTAAGTGCGATGTTATGGTGTTGAGTGTGATGTTATGGTGTTGAGTGTGATGTTATGGTGTTGATATCGCTTTTATTGGGTTTTATTACCGTTTTGTGATTTTTAAATCTTATATTCTGGTTTAACTGTCATACTGTGGTTTAATTTTCACATTGTGGAGTTTTAGTTGACATATAGTGGTTTATTGTCATATTATGGTTTAACTGTCATGACCTGGTTTAGACTGGTTTAATTTCTCAACACTGATGTTGTGTTTCTTGAGTTTAGATAATAATTGATGTTGTTAGAGAGCGATTGTGTTTATCTGTGATGTTTTACTATCCATTAATGTTTGTATGTGAATTTGATTGATTTCAATGTTTTTTTTAATGTTTGTTTTTCTTTTTATCTTCCTTGTTATGTTGTAGTTGAATGAAAGACGATTAAACCCCAACACTGTGACACCACGAAGGCATTAAGATTTATAGAGAGAGACGTATAAAGCCTTCTGAAGCTCTAAATACAGAGTAGAGTAGAGTAGAGTAGAGCGGTACTCCCTACTCACCCGGCTGTCCCCTCTCTGAGCCATCAAGTAAGGTTCCAGTTAGACAGCACCAGCCTCCAGAACTATAGATTTTGTCTCTGTGGAATGACTGTGTGGGCGGTGGGAGAGAGAGAGAGAATTATGATATAAGTTGATAGAAATGTTGTTTTGTTGGTCTCCGTTGGTCTCTGTTGGAATCGGTCTGATGGTCTGTTTACAAGACATGTGTACATATATTTTTTCCTGCCGTTGTTTGAAATGTGCGAATATGTTTGTTTACACTCCGTCACGTGTGTTGTCCTGGAGAGAGAGAGAGAGAGAGAGAGAGAGAGAGAGAGAGGCTAAACAAGAACTCAATATCACACTTACCCATATGATGGAACTTGCTAGGGAGGTCAGAGTCAACAACACGGTGCCTCTCTCTCTCTAGCTGTCTGTCTGTGTCTCTCTCTGGTTGTAATACTCGAGGGCTTCAACAAGCGAGGTGTGGCTTTGCACAGTTGAGCCTCAGTGTTGATGCCTTCTTGCAAATGAAGTCGTTCAGTGTTTGGGTTTAAATTTTTTTTTTTTTGCAATCAATGGTCGATGTTCTTGTAAAGGAATGTCAATGTTTTGTAAGTGACAGATACTGTGTGTGTGTGTGTGTGTGTGTGTGGGTGTGGGTGTGTGTGTGTGTGTGTGTGTGTGTGTGTGTGTGTGTGTGTGTGTGTGTGTGTGTGTGTGTGTGTGTGTGTGTGTGTGTGTGTGTGTGTGTGTGTGTGTGTGTGTGTGTGTGTGTGTGTGTGTGTGTGTGTGTGTGTGCGCGCGTGTGGGTGTGGTGGGTGTGGGGTGTGTGGGTGTGGGTGTGGGTGTGGGTGGGTGTGGGTGTGGGTGTGGGTGTGGGGGTGTGTGGGGTGGGTGGGGTGTGTGAGGGTGTGGTGGGTGTGTGTGTGTGTGTGTGTGTGTGTGTGTGTGTGTGTGTGTGTGTGTGTGTGTGATGACAGTAAACATCATGCCATGGTTACATAAGGGATACAATGTTTTACTGTGAGTGTAAATCATATTGTGTTACATAAGGGATACAATGTTTTACTGTGAGTGTAAATCATATTGTGTGAGTTTGTGATCGTTCAGAGTAAAAGTTGGTTGAGTAGAAGAGAAAAAAGTGTATATCTGAAGGTCTTGTGGTGTTGTCTATAAACCTCTAAGTCCTTGTCTCGGGTTGTTGACTGTATAACAGTGGGCCGGTGGTTGCTTTCTGCCCCTTGTATATAACTACTGCTGCTGTTGCTACTGATGCTGTTGCCGCTGTTGCATGGTTGCTGCAGTACCTCTCTGTAGACTGTTGTGTTCTCTGCCACCAGCGACTGTTGTGTCAGTCCCCTCAGTGTCTTGTTGTACTGTACGATCCTCTCGTACACGTCACGCTGTCTCTACCTAACGCTTGGTACTTGTTGTATTTGTTCATATATATATATATATATATATATATATATATATATATATATATATATATATATATATATATATATATATATATATATATATATACAGTATGTATGTATATAGATATTATATACATAAACATACATATATTAATGTAGTAATTATCTCTTCATTGATGTGTTGAAAATGTAGTTATATTCATATACGTATATTAATATATTACTTATATATGTGTATATTCTTTAGTGTTTGAACATTTGATGTAGTATTTTATCATTGTATATATATGTTTGAGTAATATCTGTCCATGGTAATTTACCATGTTAGTGTAATATGTGTTCCTTTATATTATGTTAATATCTATAGTAATATTTTATATTTAGAAAGTAATTATATGTTATTATTTAATCTGGATATTTGTGGTAGTATTAATATATGTATACATTATACAGTACAGGGAAGTGTTACAGTGTTCTAGAGTCTGCATCCCAACATAAGTCACTGTATTTTTCCCCAGGACTGTGATGGTCAGGGACCATGGGCGTCCTGGGTTAGGAATTTTGTAATTTAGTTGAGCATCCCTTAAGAAAACTGTCTGGTGCTATCTTTAAAGCCCTAAACTGGCCCTTAAGAGCACCTTAAATAAACGGCTCAAGCTTAAACAGTTCCTGGCCGCTTGATGCTGAACCACTGTGGTAGAGCTTAGAGACGTGAGTGTACGGTACAGTATAGTGATGTTGTTTACTGGAATACAAACTGGATATGAACACCAGAGCTTCCATGTTATTAGAAATACATCCATTAATATTAACCCATGAAGGTACACCAATATGTTCTTCATAACACACCTGTTTATTAATTTACCTGTCAGGAGTCGATGATTAATTTTACCTGAACACTTACACAATAGAACTACGAGACACAACTGTAGTGTATGATCAAATTCTAACCAATCATGAGCCTCTTTGTCACTCGTGTGGTGAATGTAGCCAATCATGAGCCTCTTTGTCACTCGTGTGGTGAATGTAGCCAATCATGAGCCTCTTTGTCGATAATAATTAAAGAAAAAAAAGTGACTGAGACATAATGGGAGAAATAATTATTTTTTTGGAGGAAGATAATTTGTTCTGGAATAACTTTGAGATAATTTGTTTGAGATAATGTGACGGAGAGACTATGAGAGATACATCAGTTTACAGTGAAACTTTTATTTAACGGATTATTTGGAGAAGAAAGTTCGTTATATCGAGGGTCCATAACCGACTATAACCACGTCTCTTAGTTGTTGGGGGAGACAGGAGACATCACCATCTATCTCCCTCAATGGTGGTGATGGTGATAATGATGGTGGTGGAGGAGGCAAGATAGCTATTTAAAATATCTCCCTCAACATAAAGGTAAAAAAAAAATATTAAAGGAAATTTTTTTGATACAGGTGAACGAAAAATAACGAAAGAAATTAATATAAAAAGACGAAAAATAAAGAAAACTTCTTATAATGCGACGAAAAATGAAGAGACAATTATTATACATCAATTAAAATAATGAACATGATCATAAATCGGGGAGCTGTTAGGTGGTGATTAGATGAAGACACTGTGGCCTAACAAGCGTCCCTCCCTCCTCCCTCACCTCCCTCCCTCCTCCTCCCTCCCCTCCCTCCCCCTTCCCTTCCCTCCTTCCCTTCCCTCCCTCCCCTCCCCTCCCCTCCCTCCCTCCCCCTCCCTCCCCTCCCTCCCCTCCCTCCCTCCCTCCCTCCACCATGCCAACTCTTCCCTCAGCCCTCATCCCTCCAATTGCCCTTCCACCCATTCTAGTCCCCCTTCCGTCCCCTCTCTCTTTCTCTCACCTCACCTCTCCCTACTACCCAGCCTTTCCCTCACCCCTCTCCTCTCCTTTCCCTCTCACTCATCCTCTCTCCACCCTTACCCTAACCCTCCTTCTCACCACTTCCCTTAACCTCATCCCTCTCCTCCTCCTTCCCTCTCCCCACCCTCCCTCTCACCCCACTTCTCCCTCCCCTCACCCCCCTCCAGGGCCACTGCAGCTCTATTCCTTGTTATCCCCAGGACAAACAACGTCTCCGGCGAGCACTTGTTATGTAGCTCGTAGGAAAAATAAAAGGAAAATCGAGGGAAAATATCACCAAGGACGAAAAACTCTTGCTACTTGGGCTTCCCTGTGGTAGTGGTGGTGGTTGATGACGCCACCACCACCATCACCACTAATTACGGTGGTCGAGGTGATTAATGTTTATTTAGTCTAATTAACATACACACAGGTGATGGTAATTAAAGGGGGGGTAATTCCTTTGGTTAATTAGACCATATAAAAGGTTAATAATACACATTTACCTGAGTAGTGTGTGTATAGTTACCTGTCATTAATGCTTGTTTTTTTCTCCCATATCTTCTACAGCAACACAGGTGATAGCCAAGCCATTTATAGTTGTTTACCTGAGGATGTGGGTTTACCTGTTCTTTATATATATATTTGGGTAATGTGACTCTTTTATTTCCTCTCACTCTGACTACCAGCAGGTGGAGATGGGTAAGGTTGTGTATGTGTGACGTACAATGTTTTGGTGTGTGTTGCTCCTTTCTGCCACCAGGGAGCAGCACCACGACTCTATAATAGGCCTATAGATTTAGTGCCTTTAGTGATTATTTATGTATTTGAAACTTTGATGTATGCAACCTTATGAACAGAACATAAGGCTGGTAGATCTTTTATTTCTCCCTGCAGATTTTTTTGTTGATTAGTTGTATTGTTAATGATGTTAGTTTTAGGTAAATGACCTTCAAATGTTGTTAATTTTCAGCGTTAACCCTTTGATTATGATGTCTTAACCCTTTACGTTTGATGTCTTAACCCTTTGATTATGATGACATTGTAGTGAAGGGGTTAAGTAGCGCAAATATGAACTTTACTTGAGGTGAATAAAACCCATACAAATAATTAAGATATTCTCTACATAAGTTCTAGACAAATTTCTCTTTAAACACTGATTCACCTTTACAACATTTGAAGGTTTAAAGTTGAATTAATATTTTACCTTTTAGATTCTTCTACCTGTAAACTGATAACCTTTCCTTTCTGTACTAATCTCTAGCAAGGCTCTGGAACGAGACTGACCCAGACCCTGCATTATACGTGTAAACAATAACATCATACCACTACTAACCTTTTATGTATGTATTAGAGTGTTAATTAACCTGCTCTGTTTTTTACATTGCACGCTCATAGCTGCAGAGTTCCATGTTGGCAATGGTAAGTTAACGCGCCTCTCTCAGCAACACTGCACAACATCATTCACTGCTCTTGTTGCTTTAGTTGTGGAGTTGTGTCCCCCCTCCTCTCCTCAGCTTCTGCCGGTCACAGGTTCGGCCGACAGCTGCACACACCTACACACACACACACAGGTGCAGCCGCCCACGCACACATCTGTACAGTGCCTTGGAAAGTTATACAGGTGCTTTTCTAAACACAGGTAGAGGAGAGAGAGAGAGAGAGAGAGAGAGAGAGAGAGAGAGAGAGACCTCCCTGTGTTGAGGAAAACGACCTGTAGTAGGCTAATTTGTATTGGTGCAGGCAGCTTGTTCCTCCCAAACTGCTGCATGTTGCCTGGCGTGTTGACTGCGTTCCCTGGCAGCTGGCACAACCGTATCTGTCTCTCTCTTTGTTAATGTCCACTCATGTGATTATTATTATTTATTATTATTATTATTTTTATTATTATTATTATTATTATTATTATTATTATTATAATTATTATTATTATTATTGTTATTATTATTATTATTATTATTATTATTATTATTATTATTATTATTATTATTATTATTATTATTATTATTGTTATTATTATTGTTATTATTATTATTATTATTATTATTGTGTGTGTGTTATTATTATTGTGTGTGTGTGTGTGTGTTGTTGTGTGTGTGTGTGTGTGTGTGTGTGTGTGTGTGTGTATTATTATTATTATTATTATTGTTATTGTTGTGTGTGTGTGTGTGTGTGTGTGTGTATTATTATTATTATTATTGTTATTATTATTATTATTATTATTATTATTATTATTATTATTATTATTATTATTATTATTATTATTATGCAAGATGATACGCCACAGCTACAATTATTTTTGTGTTATTATTATTAATTTTGTTTTGATGTTCTTCCTGTGGCAACCACCAGTTCTCTATAGTCAGACTGAATTCTCTCTCTCTCTCTCTCCTATGGTGCACTAATAAGTAAGTCATCTCTCCCCACCTTCCCACGTTGATGAGTTTGTAAACTTTCGGTGGTAGACAATCTGTTCCACCACCTACCTCCTCCTCCTCCACATGCTTCCTCCACCTCCAACATCTACTTCTTCTCCTCCTTCTCTCTTTATTTCATCTACTCCATCCACTTCCATCATCCACCTTCTCCACCTCCTTCATTCGTTAAGTGTTTTTAATCTTCCTTTCAGCCAATTTTCATAGTTTCCGTAAATATGTCACAAAGAAAATCTGTTAGAAGCTTCAAAAACATCTTATGTAAACCCCAAAGGTTGATGTATGTCTGATGAGCCATTAATGTCTTAGACGTTACTTAAATTAACACTTTTTTTGTTAGTTTAGATGGGAATGTGTAATAATTCTACGTTATTTATAAGTATTTGTCAAGGGAAAGTTTTAAAGTATTTTTTAGAGTGTGTGTCTTAAAAAGTTTCTATAGTTTTATTATAGTTTATACGAGTTTGTCTTATTTAAAGTTTCGTCAGTTATATACTTTTGTGTTTAAGAGTTTGAAATGGCTTAATTCATTCGTATATGTCTTAAAGTTTTCAATATTTTTCACAGTTTGGATATATTATATGTCTGAAAGTTTTAAGAAATAGCTCCAAAAGTTTTCAGGAGTTTGTCTAAAAGCTTCAGTCATTGTTGTTTAAGCTTTGAATTGAAGTTTGTGTACTTATACCTGACTGAAACTATACACACACACACACACACACACACACACACACACACACGTTAGTTCCTCACTGTAGAAAGTCTCGGCTCTAAAGTCTCATTAGGTTAGGTTGGTTAGATTAGGTTAGGTTAGGTTCTGTAAAGGTTGGAAATTCATATGGTCTGTTCTTATGACCCATCAACCCACACTCCGACCCACCTCACTAACACACCCACTAATACACCCACCATCCACCACAACCCACCACCACTAACCCACCCACCCATTAACCACCCACTAACCCACCCACCTAACCCACCAACCCACTCTCCCCACCCCTCTGCTTCCTCTCATTAACTGTATTACATCAACTAGTTTCTGTATCTCTGTATTTTGTATTGAGTTACAGAGACTTTAGGAGACCTGTTTCAAGTGTCTTCCTTACTTCTTGTATGTTGTATTGTCTTTCTTATTGTCTTAAGCGCGTCAGCTCTCTGGGATCAAACTTTCTCAAATTACATACACTTTCCAACGTTTTCTAAGACATCCAAACTATATTAACTTTGCCTCAAGTGATCAAGTCTCTCCTGTATGTATTTTTTGATTCATATATTTACTTCACGTGTTTTTCCATCATTATTATTTACACATTATACATATAGGGAATTAATTACCTCAGTTTTCTTACTTCTTCAAGATCCTTTAAATATAACTCATTATTTAGCTCGATTAAATTCCTCTCAGGTCAGACAATCTATTTCCTGTTTTATGATTTACAATAACTGAAACTTTAAGAACTTATTTACATTTTTTAATGGTATAAAGTATAGGAATAATACCCACAATGGCGTCAGAATTACACTGAGACTCGACCTTGACTAGATACATCCACTTAACACTGAGATATTTTAGCTCTATGGCAATATGATCTTAAGTCTATGGCTTTACTGTACCGTCTTAACTCTATGGTAATATTTCTGAACTCTATGGCAATGCTACTATACTTTATAACCAAGCTATCTGACTGTAACTATGGCAGTGATATCTGAACTCTATATTAATACTCCTATATTCTATGTCTATGGCAATACTGTCTGAACTCTATGGCAATACTATCTATATCCTATGGCAAATGCTACTAAATTCTATGGCATCAAAATAGAGCCAAATTCTTCTCCAGTATAATACATCCAGCAGCTGTTAGTTCTATGTTGTATATATATATGCTGTTGTTATGAGGCTACTATCACCACTACTACCTACCCCACCACCACCACCCACTACCACTACCACCACTACCACCACCACTACCACTACCCCACCACCACCACCACCACCACCACCACACACCACCACTACCACCTACCCCACCACCACTACCCCCACCACCCACCTCCACCACCACCACCACCACCACTGCTACCACCCACCACCACTACCACCACCCCACCACCACCACCACCACCACCTCCCCACCACTGCCCACCACCACCACTACCTACCACCACTCCCCCACCACCACCATACTTCTGCCTACCACTACCCCACCACCACCACCACCACCCCCACCCCACTACCACTACACTCTCTCTTACCACCACCACTACACCACCTATACACTACCCACCACCACCACTCTCCACCACCACCTCACCACCACCCACACCACCACCACCCCCACCCCCACCACCACCACCCCCACCACCACCACCACCCACCACCACCACCACTACCACTACCACTACCACCACCACCACTGCCACCACCCCACCACCCCACCACCACCCACCACCCACCACCACCCACCACCCACCACCACCCCACCACCACCACCACCACCCCACCACCACCACCACCACCACCACCACCACCACACACACATCGTATGCATCACTGGAGTATTTGGTGTGCCTCTTGAACCAATATGATCTGTGTCTGTGTTTGTCTGTACATGTGTATGTTTTACGTATGTGAAAATATGAGTTTATGTCCTTGTAATAATGTTCAGTTTGTTGTTTGCTTCCTTCTCTGTCTATCTGTCTGTCTGTCTGTCTGTCTGTCTGTCTGTCTGTCTGTCTGTCTGTCTGTCTGTTCTCTTCATAAGTTTCAATGACTCCCTCTTGAGCTCGACCCAAATTTCGCCTTTTTGGGGAGTCAGTGATTCAGTTATTAACACGTGATTTGTTCTTCTTGAAGCTTTTTTTTTGGGGGACTTTAACACCTCTTCCTTTCCCCTTTTCCCTTTCCCTTCCCCCTTTCCCTTTCTCCCCATCCCTTCCTGCCTTTTTAATTCGTCTGTCTTATTAAATTGTTATCTAATACGTGAATTAAACTTGTTCAAACTCCCTTTATTTGGATAGTTTGAACCTGTTTTGTGTTCGTCTTTTGTTTCGTCTTTATTAACAATGGATCTCTATTTTAGAACGCCTAGTGTTTTTTCCCGAAGATTTAATTAGTTTTTATAATGCTTTGGCTGGATAATTTTTATAACATCTTAAGTATTAATCTCATTTTCTATAAACAAAAGACCATTAGAAAACGTAAAACACATTTCAGAAGAAGTTAACCCATTTTCTAATAATAACCCATGAACCCATTTTCTGTAAGCCCATAAACCCATTTTCTAAGCATAAACCCATTTTCTGACAACCCTAACCCATTTTCTATAAGCATAAACCCATTTTCTGACAACCCTAACCCATTTTCTATAAGCATAACTTCTCCTGTAAGCAGTTCGTCCACTAAACCTTCTTTGTTTTTGTTAAATTAAATTCTGGACGTAATCAGGCGGGAGGATGAGACCTAGAGGACAGGCCCTCTTCCTCCTCTTTTCTTCTTCCTCCTCCTCCCTCCTCCTCCTCCTTCCTTTTTCTCCTTTTTCTTCTCCTCTTCTTTATCCTCCTTTTCCTCCTCTTCATTCCCTCTGTTTCCTTTTTCGCCTCCTATTCTCTTTCCTTCTCCGCTTTTTTTCCTTCTTATTTTCCTCCTCTTCTTTTACTTCTTTTTCCCTTTTCTCCCATTATCTTTCCCCCTTCTCCCTCTCATCCTCTTCCTTCTCTCCCTCCTCCTCTTCTTGTTCCTTGTCCTCCTACCTGCCACCTAACTCACTTTGATTTACACCGTCAAGACGCTCGCCAGCAAATGAACTCCATTAATCCAGGATTAACACTTGGAATGGCAGGTGTCTTGGCTCGTAATCTGCTGATGAATCCCCTCCTTTTGAAATTCGGGTCATCATGTAATCCCTCCTACCCCACCATCACCTGTAAATCCTCCTCCCCCACTATTGTAATCCATCCTCCCAACACCTGTATTCTCTCCTCCCCCACTATT